AAATAAATATAATATAGTATCTAACATTACCTTAAAAGGGTAATTAATATAACAAATTCTAATTGCACATGCAAACATTATATTAAACTATATAATAAGTTGAATTATATGAATTCCATAACTAAAAGCTATGAAACAAGAACAAAGATTGATTTGCAATTTGAAAGAATATTAAAAGGCACTCATGGGATTCCCACCTTTTGTAATTTAATCATATCTTAATTATTCTCTTAATCATACAAATTATTCCATTAATTTTATGAACAGTTCCTAAATCTTTAGGGATAGTTCGGAATAATTATTAGAACCAGAACACTTTCTGCTGCTTTTTCTCAGACAGAAGATAACAACAAATCTCTCTCTCTCTCTCTCTCTAATTAGATTTATGAACGATTGAGATTAGAAGAACAAGAACAAGGGAAAGATGATTAGGAAAGTGATTAGTGTTTGTGATTAGTGTTTGGAGTGGGAAATTTGGATATTTGAATGTAATTAGAGAATGAACTTGAAATTAACAAAAACAGAGCAGAACAAAAAAAAGATAAGAAATTACTCTTCTATGGACTAATAATTTATTCAGATCAAGAGGAAGATGATGACCCATTTGCGCCGCCGCCGTTAATTTTTGTGTCGTCGTCTCCATCGCCGTGGCCGTTGATGTTTTGGGCGCCGTCTTTTTTACAGAGAGTGTTCTTGTTGTTATGCATCCAGACTTTGAGAACGCCTCTGTCGACTCCGACGTGGCTACAGAAGTCTTGAATCAAATCCTCGTCTCGTTTCTGAATCTTCCATCCCACTTTCTCTGCAAATTCATACATTTTATCCTTTTGATTTTGAGTAAATTTCGTTCTGAATCGTTTTCTCGAATTCGAACTCGGCGTCAGAATTGAGTGGTGGAATCCGCCGCCGGCGTTCTCTGTCATGCTGCCGGATAAGGCGAGAAGCATGTGGGGTGCTGAAGGGTAGTACGAGGAGGAGATCGGTGGAGGAGAGGCAGAGTTTGGGCTTCTGTGGGCAGGCGGCGGCGGCGGATGATGACGGTGGTGGGGTTGATACTCAATGACATGGGTTGTCGTCGGAGTGGCGATTGTATCTTCTGGCTCACGGCGGTGGAAATTCCGATGGCAGCCACAGGCGACGCATTTGAAAGAGGTTGGATCTGTGGTAGTAGCGGTAGGGGAGGGCATGAACTCGCCGCAGCCGTCCAGAGCATGGCCGCCCATACTGGCAGCGTGATTCTTGAGGCATTCTTTGTAGACCAGCGACGGAGGTGGGGGCGGCGTGTGGTGGTGGCGCTTGAGGACACCATTGGTGAAGGAGTGAGATTTGGTGGTTGGTTGGAATTTGATGGGTGTTTCCGCGTCAAATTCAGGGGATTTCACAGCTCCTCCTCCGCCGGTGGTAATGGCGGCAGCGGCGGTGGAAATTGCAGGAATCAAATCCATAGCTCAAACATTTAGAGTAATACAAGAATAAAAATATAATTTTTATGTTTGTTTTTCGACAAAAAAATTAGAATTTGGAGACACAGAAGAAGGAGAAGAAGAGGGTGAAGGAGATGATGAAGTGATGAATATTTTTTTTTCAGTAAAATAATTATTCATTTAAATTAAAATAATAAAAAAAAAAAAAAAAGAAGTTTGATAATATATTAAACTTTAACCATGGTTTTGTGATGTATGGTTAAGTTGGAGAAAGTGGGGTCCACATGGGTTTACATGTTTCTGAAAGTGTAATAAATAAAAGGGGGAGGGATTTTGATTTTCAATTTTAAATTTGAAAATTTAATTTAAAAAATAATAATAATTGACCGAGTTGGAGGAATTTAAGACTCGGGGGGATTAGGGGCCGAGTTGACTCAGTAGTAATTTAGTGTATTTTTACAGAAGGGCCCCCCCTCGTTTGTGTGCTATTAATCTCTACATTTAACCTCATTTAATTACCTCCCTGCGTCCTTTTGGATTTTACTGGACTCTTGTCCCCCTCCAATCACGTGCCACGTGTCCGTCCAGAAATAAAGTCAACGTTACAAGTGGATTAGTCAAACTCCATCGTAAATGATAATTAAAAAATATGAAATAAATTTAGTTGAAATAATTATAGAAATTGAAAAAAGATTTAAATTGGAGAGTTAAAGGGGAGAATGGAGGGCAGGTGGAAGTGGGTCCCACAGGATGAGGAGATAAGGTCCCGTAATAAGGACAGGGTACCCTTCACACACCTAAACCATTTTTCCAATTCTATGGACACCACACCCACACCCGACAACCTCATTCATTTTCATTTTGTTCCAACCATTTTGACTCATTCAACCCCAACTTCAAGAATTCAAATAAATATTATAAATTATTACACCCGTCACCAATATCATACCATCGTACAGAATCATAATTTATAATTTTTAATAATAAACGTAATCTTTCTAAAATTACAGTAGAAAAAAAAATAATTTATATATTTATTTATTTATTGAAAAAGGGAAAATGATTAGGTTTAATAATTTGATACCCATTGCCCAAACACTCTACCAACCAAATAATGCCTATTTAATTTATTCATACATCCATTCTCATTCTAAACCTACTTTTTCATTGACAAGGGTGTTCTAGTGCGTTGTAGATTCTTATCCAAGACTTGTATCATTTGATGATGCCATGTGAATCGCTAGAAACATGTGAAGTCTATGGCTAACCCAATAACGAAAGTTTTGTAAGGGAACTGGAGCAGGCTACCATGAGACAAACAAAAGATCATTCGATTCAGAACTATTATATGTCCAAGGTCCAATATTGAAATAATTATAAATTTTAAATAGGATACAAGCTAACAACTACTACCTACCAATAAAAAATATATAAACTAATTAAATATTGAGAATAAAATAAAATATACTATAAATCAAATTATAAAGGAAAGAATATTAAGATATAATATCTAAGACATATTCCATAAACAATATATACCCCAAATATTATATCTCAGCATCTTCACCGTCACCAAACTTTCAATTTTACATTAATTTAATATTTTTAGACTTAGCATTGTGTTTTATTTAAAATGAATGAGATTAGAACCTGAGATGTATGAGATTATAGAACGAGTACGGCGGCGTATTGATTTTTGGTGAAATTGATTATAGAGACAACCTATTAGTGTAATAATACAAAAGGGTTAAAGGAGAGACATAGGGATCCTTATGAGGGCAAGCCCTATAGAAAACTAGGTGAGGCTTTTCCTTTATGGCTACACATTGTACTCGAAATGAGTTGTGAAAATAGGGGGAAAAGAATCCAAAGATATGGCAGCTTTAGGAAAAAATTTCTCTTTATTGCTGCAATTGTTTGATCTATGTTGCAACTTTGGCCAATTTGAAATGAATCGAGAGGAGAAAACTCGTTGATTCGAGAGTGAAAACACATTGGTTTGGGTTGAAACGGAGCCTCGCACAAAGGGTTGGTCTAGTAACCAATCCATCCTCTTGGTTGACAAAGCTACGACATTGTTTTTGGTAGTAATTGATTGTGTGTATCAAGGTGTTCCATGGCTCATTAATCCTCTATTTCATGGTGTTGCATTACCTTATATACATAAAGGAATGGAGTTTTCGTCTCACTAGCGTTTATGTCCAATGGGGTACACCGTTTGTATTTTGTTGTTTTCTTTCTATATTTCATATTTCCTTTTCTTGTCGTTGAACTTATGATGAGTAGTTGTGTGTGGGGAACGTTGGGGAATTATTCGTGGTTCGTTGGATGTCTTAAAATGAGAAGTAGTGTTTGGTTTGTCTTTAGGAAAACTACGATGACTGTTCCGTCTCTCTTTGTTACTTGTGGTTCCTCTCTTGCAGGTGTGTGTTGTGAGGACCGATTAAGTGTGATTTCATTTGGTGTGCCCTTAGTGTCGGGAGGAAACGTGGGTTGTACCACACTCTTGACCAACAACACTCCTCCTTATCCCACTCGATAATATAAAATACGACTTTCAATCTTCATATTTGGCTGGAAGGAGTTAATTTTTGATTGAGCGTTCTTCACGTAAATTGCTCAAAACATGATTCTCCAAAGATTTGAGCGTTTGGATTACTAAAAATGGTCATGAATGAGGAAGATTCGTTGGATTCTTGGATTGAAATTCTTCAACTTTCGTGAAAAAACCGAATTGAGTTTTGAATAAAAAGGTGTATCATATAAAATGGTGACCCACCTTTAAATAAGCCCAAAAAGTTTATTAAATGATAATTTTGGCCCGAAAAAAAAAAGTTGAGCTAAATTGAGACAGAAGATCAGTAAAGCATCGCAAAAATTGAAAATTTTAATTTTTAAAATTGATTAACGACTAGTCGGAGTACTTATGTAACATAAGTTGCCATAGGTAAAGTTCGTGATCCTATGAGGGGATTAGGCAATAAGTGAGTATTCATTTTTCTGTCGTTGTTACATCATACACCCGTAAAGAAAAATGTTCTATTAGGGACATATGAGTTATGGGCTCACTATACTTCCGCTGCGTCACTCTGATAATTGACTATTATCAGAGATTGCATATTGAAAATTCATTCGAAGAATGTAGACACAAGTACTCAAAAACTTTGATTTGCAAAAAGAGATTTGCAGTCGAACTCTAATTAAAAATACAAACTTAACTCAACTAATTTAAAAGTATATTTGACTAGTTGAAGAGCAGGCCGAAGGATCCGTACATGTTTGTCGAGTGAATAGAGAAGTATTGCACATCAAATTTTTAGCCCGAAATGGAAAGTAGAGTTCAAGATCATGAAATGTTTTTATAAAATGATAGATCTCTCCGCGGTTACTTGACTTACTGAATTTTAAAAAAAGACTCAAGTCACGTGCTACTCTTGTATTTTTGAAATAAAGGTGCAAAAACAACGCGATTTATGGGGCCTGGGCATGTGCCACGTGTCGGTGCACAATCGAAAGCATATGAGCGACAACACCGGATTATTCCCTCCTCCTCCTTCTTCTTCTTCCTATCTGTCCCTCAAACCTTCCTATTTATTCCCAACACAGAAGACCCGAGAAGAGATCGCGAACTCCAATTCCCCATTACCTCTTAATCTTCTTCTTCTTCTTCTCTTTCACCTGGCGATGGCGATGGCGATGGCTAAGTTCGCTGCTATCTTGATCTTGTCTCTCATTGCCCTTTCCATGTTTGAGACCACTGTGAGACCCTCTGCACCTCTACCTTAATACTCTTCTTGACACAATGAGGAAACTGACTGTTTTTGTTCTCGTGCTTCGATCCGTTCTGCAGGTCATGGCCGGCAATGGACGTGGTGGTCGCAACAGGGTAAGTCTTTTCCTAGTCTAGTTTCCCTGTTTCTGGACATTGGGGTTCGGAATTCCATAATCTTGAATTCTTTTGTCGTTGCGGCATTTTCTCGAACACCTTGTATGCCTCTGCTCTTGTTTTGATCTGCTCTGTTCTTGGGCTTGAAAATGGGGTTTGGTATACTCTTAATCCACTCTTTAATCACTTATTTCCCATTGCGGCATTTCTTCGAACACCTTGTTGTTGTAGTACTCTTATTTTGATGTGCATTGTTGTTGGCTTGTTCAGAACCCATATGGACCAGGGAGCGTCAATATCTACCGTAAATACTCTCCTAATTCCAAATCCAAACAGTTTTTGAGTAATCTTTTATGGTTGACTCGCTTGAATTAGTGGATATGAAATGGGTTAAAAAATTGACAGAATGCCCAAGTCGGTGCGCCACTCGATGCGGGAGGACACAGTACCACAAACCATGCATGTTCTTTTGCCAAAAATGCTGCAGAAAGTGCTTGTGCGTGCCGCCGGGTTACTATGGAAACAAAGGCGTTTGCCCTTGCTACAACAACTGGAAGACAAAGGAAGGAGGGCCCAAATGCCCTTAGAAAACACAACCCATTTCCATTTCCATCTCTTTTGTGCTCTTGAAGAAAATTGGGATCTGTTGTGTTCATCTTCTTGAAAAAGAAGATGAAATATGTCACCCAATCGGGGGAGCTTCTTGGCTTCGGCTTATTCCTTTTATTATCAGCAATGAAACCTCTTGTTTCTGTTCAAATTTCAGTGTTTCCATGTGACGCTGTCATAATTAGTCAATACTCTGCCCTCAGCCTCTCGTGAATGGATGGGTGGATGGCACTGGCAAACGTTTTTTGACCCAATAATAATGGACGAACTACGATCAAATGGATTAAACAGTTAGAAAACGGTAGTACTAATTTGGTTTTAGGGATATGATTTGATTTAATTCAAATTGTTCACGTGGAGGTAAGCACCATTTGTTCAATCAAAATGTATAAAATTTGACTATTAATTATTTAATCTCCTTTTCTAACTATATTAATTGAGAAATTAATATTATTGTACCATAATATTGACTTTCAATGCTCTAATATCGAATATCCACTTGTTGCACTAGAAGTGGGAGCAAGATCTATTGCACTCAAACATCCATAAACATGAATTAAACAAAGAGATATAAAGATTTACTTCGTGAGGAGAGAAGAAATTCTCTTACATTTATGGATGGTAGCCCATTACTCTAATCAAAGTGTTTACAAGTGTTACACTCTCACATCACCAAGTATCTCTTACAAAGTTCATCCTCATTGACTCTATGCGAATACAAAATGACAATGACTTCACACCTCAAAATAATGTTGAACAAACTTTTATATAAGTATAGCAACATTAGTGCTCATAGATAAATCAAGATGATTCATATATAAAAATGGAAATATGAACCAAAATGGTTATGAATTAAATGAGTTAATAACAAAAAATAAAAATAAAAATAAATGAGAATATGAATCATCAAGGGTTATGAACTAAACCTAATACATCTTCATTGACAACTTATAACAAATATTTCACATGATCATTATATCAAATCGATAATCTCGAGTGAGTTATGAGCTCTTGCAGGAATTATTTTTTGATTTGCATGAATAAAAATGAATTTTAATACCTTATTCAATTTGAACAAATATGAAGCTGTGAATATAGTCTACACATAGAATTTACTTCTCCCAAAATAGAAGAAAACATATTAGTAGTTTCTTTAAATACTAATTTTGGGATTTAAACAATAAGAACGTATTCTTTATTAGATGATCAATAGTAGTTAAGTTATAAAGGGAAGATCATCTGTATATAAGTTAGGAACTCTATCTTTATTAGCACGAAATAGGCATGAAGTCTTTGCAATAAAACTAAAAGCAAATCATTGTTCCAAAAATTGTTCCAAAAATTGAATCTAATTAAGGAAGAAGAGAACTTGAAAATTCAATCTAACCCTAATTATAAAAAATAAAAGGAAAAAAAAAAAAAAAAAGAAAAAAACTTTGACATACAACAAACTTTTTATACAGCAAATTTTATTTGATTGAAAAATGGTTAATTTTGAACATTCTCCATCATCTAATTTATTGTCACAGTTCGAGGAATATCAACGTATAAAAAGTTAATGTCCATGTTTTTCACTCACTCGTACGAAATTATATGACCATGCTCCCAATAACGTCCCTATAACTGGCCCGACCAGATACACCCAAACTCCTTCATAATGTGAACTTGCAATGGCAGGTCCAATTGTCCTCGCAGGGTTCATCGATCCACCCGATATAGACCTAGACATGGTTAGCACACGTTACAAGAATTTGTCTTCAACGCTATGCACATGTTGAAAATGCTTTCAAATTAAGGTCTCTCATAAAATTTTGCCCAAACCATTTTGTATTTTTGTTTGCTTACCCTGCAAAGATGGATGTGATACAAACAGCTGAACCGACTGCTATACCTGCAACCTCTCCTCTCTGCCAAAATGAGTACTCATTCATTGATGAACCAAAATTTAGTATTCAATATCAATCTCAAACATAGTTCACATTATTCTATACAAATCAGTTATAAATAAATCATTTTAGCTTATTTGTTCTTACTGCTTTTGTGTCGGTGGCAACCGCAAAAGTGACGAACATCATACAGAATGAGACAACAATCTCCATGAGAAGTGCTTTTAGGTCGGAACCAGAAGGTGTAGTAGTGCCTATTTCTTTAATTGGGTCCAATAATATGCGCAGGGTAAAAGCTGCCGATGTAGCACCACTTAGTTGACCAGCTACATAGAGTGGAACCTGTAATATAAAAATCAAATATTTAATTCAATTCAAGAAAAATCATGTTTGAAACTAATTGAGTTTTTTTTCTTTCGGGTTTGAGTTGGTTCTAATGTTAGATGGTCTATGTAAGATGCGTAAATTTTAAAATGGCGAGATCTCATATGGATTGGAGAGGAGTACGAGTGCCAGTAAAGACACTGGGCCCGTAGGGGAGTGGATTGTGAGATAGATTGAAGAAAAGGATGTGGAAGTCTCTCCCTAATAGATGAGTTTTAAAAACCTGGAGGAGAAGCCCGAAAGGGAAAGGCCAAAGAGAATAATATCTGTTAGCGCTGGGCTTGGAGTGTTACAAATGGTATCAGAGCCAGACATCGGACGGTGTTCCATCTCACACATTGGTACATTCTCTCATATTGGTATATGAATCATCTTGATTCATATCTGAACATTAGTGTTGCTTTGATTTATGTATGAAAATTAGTATTTTTATGCCTATATATAGATTTGTCCAGGAGTGTTATTGAGATTGAGTGTCATTTTGTATTTACCTAGTGGTATACAGGAGGAATTTTCTTGAGTGAGACTTTGTAGGGTGAGAGTGCAAGATATACACTGTATATACACTTTGATTATTATGATTGATTGCCACCCCTAAATGTAGGGGAGTTTATCCTTCTTAACCACGTAAATCTTTGTGTATTTTTATTTAATTTGTGTTTGTGGATTTGTGAGTGCGATCTTGCTTCTGCTTCAGTTACAACAATTATGATAATAATAATGGACATGAGTTACTAATATAAATAGTCATGTACATAGGTGATCATGTGCTACTATGGTAATTGTCATGAATTACTAAGAAAGATCATTGCGTATGATTACATAATAAATAATATGTATCAGTCATATGAGTTACAACTATTGTAATACATATGAAAACATTATCGGTTGCATCATATTCTCGCTATTTATTTGTATATTGTAGGATTTCAGGCATAATTTATTTGTATATGGTAGGATTTCAGGCATATATATGATCATTTCAATCATGAATTACTTCTCCATTACAAATTATTATCACTCAAATCGTGGATGAACTATTACTACACATGCCCAAAAGAAATTGATGGATTAGAAATTAACAAAAACTTGAGAAAAAAGAGTATTAAGAGGAGGAAGAAGGAACCTGTTTCCAAGGAAATCGCCTAAGAGAAGCAAAAGTAAAAGTAACCGCGGGATTCATATGAGCGCCGGAGATATGTCCGACAGCGTAAATCATGACCATGACAATAAGGCCGCCCGCAATGGACGCGCCAAGCTTGGGCAGTTGCCGCTCATCATGGACACTCAATGCCGCCGTCCCGCATGTCACAAACACAAGCAAATACGTAGCAATCAGCTCTGCCACAACCTACTACACACAAGTGAAAATTTTAGAATATATATGATAAACTATAATTTCATACTAAATATTTTTAACACTAACCATTCTCGATAAGTTAAATTGAAATTTAACAAGAGTGGAACAAAGAAAAGAAAAGTCAGGTGAATTGCTACCTTTTGGTAGAACTCGGGCGGGTAAAGTTGGTGAAATCGGTGGCGGAAGAAGGATTGTTGAGGATGAGGGTATTCGATTCTGAAGGAGATGAAGGCTTCTTCATTGATGGACCTCCAATCGGGGTTCTCTACGGCCATGTTTTAGAAATTTTGAAATTTTGGTGGTGGGGGTAAGATCAAGATGATGAAGATGCTTTTTTTATTAAACAAACTAAAGTATCATACACACTCCATCTTATTTAATATCTTATAGGCACTATATCAATTAGTAGTATAGTGTGTTGTAGATGTGGAGCAATTGTGAAAAGAAATTATTAAATACTATTAGGTTTTAATTTTTTTTTTTTTTTTTTTGAATTGTTCGGTTTTTGAAAGCATAAGAATGGCCACCGAGGGTAAGAAAATGGAGTGAAGGTTAGGTAACATAAATTTAGAATTATTGTATGCTCAAGTGGGAGAAAGTTTGGTTATAACTATGATATCTTCAATAAACCTTAATTTAGTTCATCATTCGTTGTTTTATGTCTGTCTTACTTGTAACAAGTGGATGCCATGAATTTGAATAGATGAGTGGATGTCATGAATTTGAATAGATGGGTTAATGGATTGATGTGGGATTGAATGTAAGCCACACGAGTAGCCCAAATGTGAATATGAAGTTGACAGAGAATGGTTGACAATTGGGTCCTTAACAGCAAAACTTGAATTGAAGGTAGAGGTAGATTAAGGTGGGTATTAGAGGACCATTCCTTGAAGTATGAACAAAGTTTGTTTTATTGCATTAAACATGGTTGACCCATGAAAATTCTCAAAATGATTATGGGGATGGTAGAACAATTTAAGAGAAAGGGATCCAAAATGGAGCTGACTAAATTAATTAATTTATTTATTGGATTATGCTAAAGAGCTGAATAGTTGCAAAATAATCAAAATACTCTTATTACATACCACCTGCTTGTGATCCTGATCCAAGTGGCTTCTAAATTGCTTAAAATTTTATAAAGAGTCGAATTAAAAAGATTATGCAAATAGGTTTCAATATGATTGTATTTCTCGACACTAACACCAAAATTATTTATTGAGAATTTTTTAAAATAATCTAGCCACATGTTACTTTCTTTTATCACGTGGAGGTAAGACACTTTTATACAAATGATAATGTTGTAGCCCTTAGGTTAGATCAAGGCATTTTTATTCTTTTAAATTATTGTCATTTCAATTTTTACTATTATTGTTAACATCACTATTGTCTTTATTTTAAACCATGCACTTATTAAACCAGTTTGTTAATAACAAGGATATTTGCAATCAGTTGTAGTTGTGTTTAAATGTATGCAATAAGATCCGTACAATGATATAGGAGAGAGTATTAATGGGTTTAATATGCATGGAGTGAAAAAAGAGTTTGGCAAATAATGCATG